GTGATTTTTCTATTTCTATTGATGATGATGTGGCATGAAAGATAACCAAAAATTCTAGAAGTCCTTCTACATGTAGAAGTCCTTCTAGACTTAATCAGTTATTTTTTCCCCGTATTTACAAACAAAATAAATAGATTATGTGGAGATAGAAATAAATCACTGAAGAGTATTTATGGACTTGAACCTCTATAACTGTGACACTTCACACGCCAAAAGGCAATAACCGTTTTTTGTTAATTAAAAAATATATTTTTTTAAAAAAAAATCAAATATATTAATTGTGTGGACTTCGAGATTTAAGTTACAAAAACATACTGTAAAAGACATACTTAACTTGAAACTTTTAAAAAGTTTTTTTTTTTTTAAAAAAAAGAAATCTCATAAAAAATGAAAAAAGATACATAAATAAACTTTAGAAGAATCTATATGTTCTACCTATCTATCAAAAAAAAAATATAGTTGGAATTATTATTCATTATATATTGTTTATATTAAACAAGTTTCTTAATATTATATTTATATAACTTTTATTATGTTATAATGCATGCTAACACTCTTATATAAAATACTCATTCTTTATTCCTACAATTATACATATATTTTTCATATATATAAATGTTTTGGTATCATATTCACTAGTACAACGACCGTATATTACACTGGTGCTTGCTAATTTTTTTGCTTAAAATCTAAAATTAATGAGAAAAAGTAGGTGAAAATTTAAATACCTTTTATAAAAATATATATATTATTATATATTTAGTATGACACTTTTTATTTGTGTGATTTACTTGTGTTATATTATAATAATTTTTTTAACTTACAACATATAACTACATGGAACATAAATATATCAACTAAGAAATAATTTTATTTTTTTAATAAATTTAAAAAAATATTATTGTTTTTTATTATTATAAAGATGAATATAATTTATTTATTTATATATACAATATGGATGTCAAATCGAAGATCATGAAAGATGATTAATTTGATATATTATATGTGTAACACCGATAAAAAATACAAAAGTTATCGACTTTTAAAATATATTTATAATTCAATAGCTAATTTAAGGAAACAAATCAAAAGTCAGGAATATATTAGTCACTTAGTATCTCACCATGTAGAATTATAAAGAAATAAAAAGTTATATTAGTACAATTGATATTAAAATACTTAAGTTAGCTAAATAATACTTATGGAATGTCCGAACCTAGATTATTAATTATTAATATATCAATATTATTTGTCCAAACCTAATTACGAATCATGATTCTTCACCAAGTAGGATTGCGAAACACCAAAAGCAGTTATGTAGGCTCAGCGCATTCGGGAATTATATATAGGGGGTATTTTAATCACCCTTCACTTGCATCATTACTTCTAAAATATGTTCGAATATATATATATATATATATATATATATATATACATATATATATATATATATAAACTATATAGTCTCTTGATCGAGTAGAATGGCAGTGTGTCAAATATATTATGGTGCAGATGGGATTTCACAGGGAGTTTGTCAATTCGATTATGGTCTGCATATCCACAACTTCCATATCTTTCAAAATTAATGGAGCAGCGAGTTGCTTTGTATCTCCTTCTCGTGGCATAAGACAAGGGAACCCTTTGTCCCCTTACTTATTCATTGTTGTTGCTGAGCTCCTCACAGCTCTTATTCTGCATTCTGTGGATAGTGGACAACTAAAGGGTCTGAAGCTCTCTAGAAATGGACCCTTACTTACTCACCTACTATTTGCAGATGATTCCCTTTTTTTTTTGCAAGGCAGGTGCATATCAAGCTTCAGTGCTTATGAATATCCTTGAAAAATATAGACTGTTTACAGGGCAGGCTGTCAACTTGACCAAATCTGCCATCTTCTTTAGCAGAAACACTCCCCAGCCACTTCAGCACATTGTTTGTTCTGCTCTTAATGGCATAACTCCTCACAGATCCACCAGATATTTGGGACTGCCATCGGGCATTGGAAAGTCCAAAAGAGAGGTTTTTGAATACATCTTAACTTCAGTCAGAGGGAAACTGCAGAGTTGGAAATCCAAGATGCTCAGTCCAGCTGGAAATGAGGTATTGCTCAAATCTGTAATCCAGGCACTGCCTATCTTTATAATGTCATGTTTCAAACTCCCCTTGGCTATTTGCTCTGAGATCTCTCAACTATGTGCTAACTTCTGGTGGCATTCAAATGATCAGCAGTCCACAGGTATTCATTGGAAAAAGTGGAATGTAATGTCTCTTCCCAAGATGAATGGGGGATCAGGCTTTCTGGATTTGCAGGTACTCAACAAGTCTCTTATTTGTAAACAACTATGGAGGATAGCTTCCAATCCAGACCTTCTGGTTAGCAAGTTGCTTAAAGATAGGTATTTTTCTCAAACAGTCATTACTCATGCTGCAAAAACTCACAAAGGATCTTGGATGTGGAACTCATGGATGGAGGTTATGCCTTTCTTTGCTAAGTGGGCTAAGACTGAAATTAAAAATGGAGCTGCTACCAAAATAGCTGACTTTAACTGGATGTCTGCTTTGAAGAAACCAAATCCTACCCTTATTCCAATAGCCAGAGATCATCTTATTTGGGTAAAGGATCTTCTTAATGTTAATGGCTTATCTTGAAATGAATGGCTGGTTAAGCAAGTGTTTGATCATGGTGACAGTGAAGCTATTCTTTGTCATCCCTTCACCCAGACAGAAAAGACATACTTTTTTGGGGACTACACAAAAAAGGACAATTCATTGTATCCTGCAGTTATAAGGAGCTATTTAATATCAAGGTAGCTCTCTTAGACATTCCTGAGAGCAGTACTAATCATCCATTTGTGAAAGTTGTGCAATTCAGGTACTGGAAGCTTAAAGTGCCAGGAAAACTCAAACATTTCATTTGGAAGTGCATTACAGGCACCCTTCATGTGGCCAATTTCCTGATGAAAATGAAGGTCCCTATTGATCACATATGTGCTATCTGTGGGGAAGTCTTGAAACCATTGAACATGTGTTGCTTAATTGTTCAAGAGCTTGTAGAGTTTGGGATATATCCCCTGTGACTTGGGAAGGAATTTCAAATCATACTGATTCTTTCAAGACTTGGTGGTTCCACATTTGCTCCCTTGACAAATCTGAAGTTGCTGAAGCAAGGATACAGCTATCCACATATATCCTTTGGTGGCTTTGGAAGTCAAGGAATTTATGGATATTTGAAAACTCCCTAATGCCAGCAACTACTATTATCAAGGTGGCTCTTGAGGATTGATGCAATATCAGTCTGCCTTAGGTCTGTTGGCATGAAATGCTACATTTTGTTTATAGTTTTGTCTATTTTGTCTATTTTGTTTTGAGATCATGTTCCCTTCTACGCCTTGGCAGTATAGGGTACATGCTCTTCTTCTTCTTCTTCTTCTTTTCCTTTGTTGTATTTTGGAGTTCTTTCCTCTTGTTGAGGCTCTAGGCCACCATTTAGGTGTGTCTCCCAGTTTTTAGATTTCAGTTGTATTGTATTTGAACAATGTATTAGGACTTTTTCCTCTTTGAGTTATGATATAAATCCTCTGTCGTTTTGGGAAAAAAAAAGAGTTCTTAAACTTAATAGTGACCATGCAAAATATAATAATCATTCTATGATTGATATTAAGTTGCCTATTTATTTTGATAATTTTTAGAATGGATATAGTTATTAAAAAAAATATCAAAGTCCAAAAACATAGTTTTAAAAGTTAGCGTTTTAATATTATTTCATTGATAGTTTTTTTTTTCAAAATAATAGAGACTTTTATAACACCTCAAACGAGAACAAAGTTCAAATACAAAGAATACAAACCGAAAGCTGAAAATACGACATCAGAATTTGAACAACCATAACATGTAGGTTGTTAGTTAGATCCTAACCTCGGCAACATCAGAATGAGCAATTGAACAAACCTGCCACCACCAGGAGCTGAAAAGGGTATCTGCTTCACAAATGTCATCCCAGTGAACTAACCTTGTCTCTCACAGTATTCTAGCTCTAGAATAGTGAAAAAGAACATGCTCAATTGTTTGAGAGTCATGTCCACAACCCTGACAAATCACATCCATATCTAAACCCTTCTTCCTCAAATTTGCTTTGACAAAGAGTGTTCCGGAGCAACATTTCCAGATGGATGTTATTTTTGATAGCAACAGTTCCTCAATTAAGTACATTATAGTATTATGTGGTGTATCTACTTGCGCCCTCGGTATCCTCTTAACTCCTCTAAGACAAGTCTCTTGTCTACTCGTGGGCTTGTGGTTTATAATTTCTTCCAAGTAACTATCATTCGTACTAACAATCACCAAAAACCAAATGCATTCAACATTCCTACTATCATTCCAAGTATCTACGAATTAATCCTAAGCACACAATAGATTAGGATTAAAAACTATTGTTTCAAAAATCACAGACTATGAGTCGACTTACACGGCCTACGGGGCTATACGAACAATTCTGACTTCTCGTCTCATCGTCATCTGTGGGCCTTCTAATCGTCGATCGTGCCTTGCCGAGTGTCATCTATCTACTTCTGTCGTGCGTCGCCGGGAGTAGTCGCGTGTGTGATGGTGGTGCATTGTCGACACCACTTTTCATCGCATAGTCGGTGTGTGTGTGTGTGTGTGTGTGTGTGTGTTGTTCTCCTCCAGTTACCCGGAATCTTCTGTTGTATTCCCGAGACCTAATTCGTACGTCTTGGTGGGGCGACGAGCATAAAGCTTCCTTTAGGATTCTTGATTCTCTCATAAAAACAACCAAATCCGTGAATATATATATACCATAAATGTTTCGACCACTCCTTGTAATTGGATTGGCCGAAACATCCATGGTGATATGTGTATTTATAGAATACAACAGAGACTTTGAGGAGGTGTTCAATAAGGACTCCCTAAGTGTGAACATGATTCTAAGTCTCTGATCCAGCTACACCTTTAAAACTTGAATAATAATTTATTCCACTAAAAAGTGGTATTGAACTTCATATTTAGTACCCAAATTACATTTAAGGTTCCAGATTAATTTACCCATTTTATCCCTCCATGTTTAAGATATAATATCCGTTAATAAATTTAAATACAGACAATATAATTAATCGACTTCTTGATACGAAACTAATACCACACAATTTTTTAATATTATGTTAGTTAATTCGTCTGCAGAGCTTGACATAATAACTACCCTTCAACTCATTTTGAGGACATCATCAAACTGGTGCACCCACACACGACGACCGTAAATAACCGAACAATACAGTATAAGCACAACATCATTTCCCAACTCACATAGACTGTTAATCCAACAGAATAAATCTCACTTTTTGTGAATAAAGAAATAACTACTGAGTGCATGGGCCCTTTATTATCTTACAGCTTAAGAGTTCACACAAATTAGCGAGGTCTAGTATATTCACTTGGTCGAATCAGTCTTTATGTTTTGCAATTAATAGATAATATGATCTTCTGCTCATTCGCGATAATCATATTTACCTAAATGTAAAACAACATTACGTAGAAGCGTTTAATTAAACATAATTTTCATCCAAACAGAAATGATGTTCATAACAAAAACACAAGCATTTAGTATGTACACTAACACACTGGACGCACGACGGTCGAGGTTGACGCCGCAAAACGTGGAGGCTCAAATTCAGTTGAGTGATTAGAAGAAAGTCGAACGAAGGGAACAAACGACCATACTAACTACTGAAGAGGATGACGAAGAAGAGTCGGATGATTTTACTAGTATTAGTGGAACCGATGTAATCGAAGACAACTACGATTACTAGAGTGTTAAATGCATCATATCATTTTCTTTCATCAAGGTAAGTAAAGTAAGAGAACTACGAGTACTTTGATTCCCATGGTAAGGGAAAAATAGACAACCTAATAACATGTTATAAGTTAAAATATCATTTTTAATAATAAAAATTTCAACTTATTTGATTTATTAATTTATAATATGTCAACTAAATCCAAGTCCAGTTCTGTAAAACCCCTTCCATTTTTTTAATAAATACGTCGGAAGTCAGTTCGACCCTGAATCGGCAGGTCGGTTTGAGCCTTGAACTACCGGTTCAGGGAATCTGC